AACCATTTCCCAACCAGCTCGAACACTTTCACTCTGAGGGTCTATAATCCATCCTAGAGCTGTGCAGTCTCACGTTCTGCTCATTTCTTCCCACACATTCACAGTTACCACCACCCCTCATGCCCAACTATTGCTATGGGATCATATTTTGGTGTTAGTTTTGTCTGATACCCTCCTAGCGTCCCATATCTCACTTCGTTCCTCCTCCGCTAATGACTGGATACATTTCACTAACAGTTAATCCTGCTGAAGAGCGTTGGCTCCGGTTAAGGACTGGGCCTCAGGAGAAATGGCTTCAGTGTGTGGCTCTGCCACAGACTTCCTGTGTGACCTTGTGCAAGTCACATAACCTCTGGGTGCCTCCGTTCCCCCTCTGTAAAACGGGGATAGAAATACCGATCTACATCTGTGAGACACTCAGCTATTAGGGTGATGGAGTAGTACCTACACGAGTACCTAGTACTAGGTAAGTACCTAGACGAATAGAGGGAGTTGCTGCAGGGGAGGGTTATTTCCAGCTGAGGCTGAAAATATGGGGACTATGGAAACAGCAAATCTTCTACAGCACTTAAGTTCCTCATAAATTGTAACTTTGCATTTCCATAGCAATTTTCATTCCAGGACCTCAAAGTCTACGACAAACATTAATAAATTAAATTAAAGAGATAAGGTGGATGAGGTAATATCTTTTATTGAACCAACTTCTGCTGCTGAAAGAAACAAGCTTTTGAGTTACACAGACAAGAGTGCTGTGTAAGTGCGAAAGCTTGCCTCTCTCACCAACAGAAATTAATCCAATAAACGGTTTCACCTTACCTGCCTTTTCTGTCTAATATCCTGGAACCAACACGGCCACAACAACACTGCCAACAATTCAGAAATTAAGTCTCTCAGTCCCCTTCCCCAAGAGCTAGGTGGTATTATCCCTATTTTACACATGGGGAAACCAAGGCACGGAGGCTCAACAACTTGCCCAAGGTCACACGATCAGTGGCAGAGTCTGGGACAGAACTCATCTTTCCTGACTTTTATTCCCGTATTCTAATCGTCTGAGCCCCAGCCCCAGTGGGGCTCTTTTCCTTATTGGGACAGCTCTGCAGAACAGTGTTTCAGACCCACAATTATTGATACACCTACCAGTCCGCAAGGGGATCCCACGCGAGAAGAGCAGGGAAAAACACCAGTGATAATTGCTGGTGCTCTGACTAACAGTCCCTGGGGCATTTAACAAAAGGTCATTAAAAAGCAGCTGAAAATGGGCACTTTGCGTGGGAGTCCAAGAGCTGGAGCAGACGCTGGAGCAACCTCCCGCCCCACCCACAATATCGTCAGACAAAGCTCCATGCTCCCACTGCACCTCGGCCACCCTCTTTGGTTGATACCCCACTCGACAGTGCCTGGGGCTTTTCACCTGCTCCAATCGGTCACCGCATTAGCAGAACAGATTATTCCCACTGCAGAGCGAAGCCACCACTCAACACCTCTGCTTATGGTTATTTGGCAAAGCGGTAATAAGACACATCCCCTTCACCCCCTCCTTTGCTAAGAAGAGCCAACTGCTGTTTTACCTGGAGGAGCTGGGAGGTTGATCCCTTTCACTATAGTAAGAACCATATCGTTGCTGTTCAGCTCAGGAAAGATCCTTCAAGAATAAGGCAGAAAGAAGGTTAAACAGCAAATAATTCCTACCTCCTCCAGCCAGCCCAGTAGTGACTTGGGGACAGGGAGTTGGTATGCTCTGCAGTGCCCCCTGCAGGTGCTGTAGGTCGACACTTCCTGCTCTTGCAAACAGCAGACCAACACAGGTATGTCTCAACTCTACCAGTAAAAATAGATCTGCCAGGACAACCTTTTTATATAAAATGATCAAACACGGCACTTCTACCACCTTCCACCCAAGAACTGCAACGTATTCTCCCCATTTGGCTGATGGGGAAACAGGCACAGAGTGGGCTGTATAGATCTCAGGTTTAACAAATGTTGTGTTTAATTGACTATAGAGTATGGCAAGAAGGCGGCACATAGGGTTAGCCATGGGTGAAACATACAACAACCCTATCCACTCCCCCTGCTGTGGGACCCCATCTCTATCTCACGCACACACCAGATCAGGAAAGAACTCAAAACAATGATTCCGTTCCTGAGAATACAGTGGGAGGCAGGACTCCACACCGATTGGGAGGCAGAGGTCAACATGTACACTCCAGTGTATAGAAGATCTCCCCCGAAAACAAGGCCACGGGAAGCGGCCCGAGTGGAGGGCCAGACATAGCAGCATCGGCGAGGTCTTGGTTACCTTCTCCCACCCTGCAATGAGGGATAGCGTGGCTGGAATGAAAGGAGCAGGAAGCAACGGGCAGCAAATTAACCTACTTGACCACACTGAAGGTCCTCTGCTCATAGTGGTACTTGGGCAATGGGAAGCCTTTGGCGTGGGCTTGCTTTAAGATTTCCATGTTCTTCTTGCAATCCTCTGCCATCTTCTCAAACCTGCAGAGAGAAGAGCTAAAATGAGCCAGGAGTTTACTCTGATGGAGATTCTTTTGTAGCTTCCCCGTTATTCTGTGCTCTGCTCACAGACCAGTGGAAGAACCTTCACGCCTGCAGCTCCCGTTGTCTGGAAGAGCATTCCTGCATGGTCCACTCTCCATCTCACTACAGATTGCAGGAGATGGCCTATCACATTCCCCCTCTTGTCTGTGGCTTTGGGTACGTCTCCACTACAATCAGGAGGCTGGACTGCAGCTCCTGTATGCCTAGCTAGAACAGTAGCAGTTTAACCACAACAGCACAGGTGGTTACACGGGCTCGTTGTCGGAGTATGTACCCAAGGTACCTTTGATCGTGGGTATACCTGTAGAGCTGCAATCACATCTCAGGATTGCAGTGTGGACATACCCACAATTTCTCTCGCCTTCTATTTATTAAACTCTGAACTGTCGCCTCAAAGCTTCCCATGAGTGGCACTAAAAAATACCCCAATGGTTTTATTTTGTAACCTATATTGTGCACATCACATAAATATCTGGTATTGTTAGCCTCTGTCCTTGCTGAAGGCATCTCTGCGTGCCTGACCCATTGAACCAGTTCCAATCTCACAAATTCACACCATGAGCCTATGTCCAACAGATGTGGAGCAAACTGGACCCATTTGGGCCAAGGCAATCTTAATTTGCAGTCCTAGCTTTGACTCAGGGTGGGGAGTGGAAGATAGATTGTTGAATTTAGTGAAAGCACCTTCTAGGATGGAGAGAGAAACTGGAGACATGGGGTTACCAGTTTAATATGAGCACTACAAACACTTTCTATATTTAATATAGCACCCTTCACCCAAATGCTCCAGAAGTTGCAATGCTTTTAAGTATTTCGCCCACCACTGAAATGCAGCCACCTCTGGAGTAGAGAACAGCAGCTGGTGTGTGCTGTTAAACAACACTGCACAGTGAGGTGTCCCATGTGCCAGGAATTTTAGGCAGGCAGTATGGAATTACCTATGCTGGAATTTAGCCAGGACACTGGGGCTGGGGAAAATGCCACAGGATCATTAACCCATGAGCAGTCAGGACCTCTGCTTAGCATCTCACCTGAAAGGCAGAACATTGAGCAGAGCCCCCAACACAGCCACATTTCGGAAAGGAAATGCAGGACTTCCCTGAGGAAAGCAACCGGGAAGGACACCCTAGGTAATTCTGCAGCAGCATCACGGTGTGTACAACCAACACAAGGAAAGGAGCCTGAGGGAAAGGGGGATGGAAAGCACTCCTGCTGACATACTTACTTGGTTGTTTCGGCGATATTCCCTAGGTGAGTGAACTGCTTGGAGTAATTCAAACACATCTGGGACAAAAACACACGAGAGAGAAAGTTACTACAATCTGCCCTCCTCTGGCGCCTTCCATCCAAGGATCTGCAGCACTTCCACAGGAGGCTGTGTCTGCGTGTTTGTGAAGAAGTATTCTCATTCACAATTACAGATGGAGCCACTGAGACGGAAAAGGGAAGGTCGCTCAATGGGGCAATGGCGGATCCGGAAATAGAACCCTGAGTCCTGTCTCCCAAGTTATCCTTTCTCCCTCATACAGGCCTTTACAATCCAACCAGTACATGGCCATCAGGATGGCATTCCTGCCAACACACACTAGAGCACTACAAGTCTGCTTAACAAAACTGGAGTCTCCCTCAGCCCCCTGCCTAATGCCTTGGATCAGTGGCTCTCAATCTGGGAACCAACAGCCACCTGTGTTTTCTTGCTATGCCCACCGAAATCCCACAATCCTTTGCAGAGAAGGACGACTCCAGAAGAGGCAAAGCAAGTTTGACTTAACAAGACGCAGCAGCAGGTGTGACCCTAACACTCCTGGGATCACAGCTGGCAGAATCTCCTCCTGGAGGAAGAAGGGCAAGAAACTTCACTTAAGCCTAGGCGTGAAAACTCCAGTCCCCCAGGAATCCACTCCCCTGTCACTGCTGTTCTGAAGAGCTTCCCAGGAGATTCTAAGCCTCTGAAAGCCCAACCGAACACTCTCTTCCTAGCGCATCTCCCTTTGGGTCTTCTACCTCGTGCTGCTGCCTCATCAGCTTCATGAACTCCATGTACTGGCTGGCAGCCTCTGGGGAGATGCTAACCCCACGACGCTGCACGAGCACGAAATCCTCCTTGTTCACTGGGGCTTGAGGCACCTGAAACAGAAGGGAGGCATGACAGTGACCTGCAGTTTCAAGAGAAGAGATTTTCACCTACACAGACCCATCTGCAAAAGTCAGTCCTGGAGTAAGGAATTGCCCATGCTGGACCTCGTCTTCCATCCGAGACACTCAAAACCCTTCTTCATTATCTCATCAGGCCTCACAGCCCCTGGAAGCTAGAGATTATCCCCACTTTGCAAACTGGACAAGTCTCTTCCTCTTTGCATCTCCCTTTCCAAAGATAGGTCAGTATCAGAACCCGAACCCAGGAGTACTGACTTCCACGCTCCTGCTCTAAGCACTACACCCAACTCCCCTCTCAGAACTTGGAATAGAATCCAGGAGACTTGAATGCTCACTCCCTAATCTAGCCATTAGACAGATCTTCAGATACAGGCAGAGACGTCAGCACTCCGAAAGCAAGTGCAGGGGGCGGGGTGTTCCAGTGGTCAGTATGTAACACAGCTCCAGTTATATCTAAGTTTAGGAGCTTGAGCATTCTTTACTCCTGAATTCAGGCAAAACACATAGCTATGAATATTCATGTAGCGGCTAGTTTTAGAGACAGATTATCATTACAGCATAAGTAGCAATATAACCGTTTATCCTTGTGTTATGCAGGATCCCCAGCGATCTTTACAAACTAACAAACAGTGACAGACGCTGTCTCTGAGGATCACAATGCCCAGCAGTAAAATGCAGCCACTGCTGGGGTGGGAAGTGTCAGCTACCCACCTAGCACACAGCAATGGTGCACAACACGGTAGGAGAGGGAGTGAAAGATGCCATAATCAATGCATTTGGAATTGAAAGAGGCAGAATAGAATTACCCAGGACTTCTGGGCTTTTGAAAAGGCCGTGAATCTTTAACGACCGAGTGGTCAGGATTTCTCATGCCGTGGATTGGTCTCAAATTAAATGCACCGCAGGGACCTCCTTACTTTGGTTATGTCGACAGGAAGCCCACCCTGGGACGCCTCGATCATGGGGTCAAGGCCCTTGGCCTGACGCAGGAACAGCTTCGCTCCCTCAATGTCATTCTTCTGCTTGGCTCGAAGCGCCGCCTGCATCAGTTGTTTCTTCCTGCCCTCCAGGAAAGCGAGCTGCTGTTGGGCTGCCGGGAGGAGGAGAAAGAGGATAGTCACATCGGGGGTGGCTGTCAGGACCTCATGCTATAGGTAGTCCGAGCTGGAAAGGGAAGCTGGGAACGTTGGTGTATTCAAAATACCGGGCCCATCAGCCCCTACAGTCCTCTCTGGTTCTTAGCCTGTGCTGGCTGGTGTCATCGTGCATGCACTCCCTAAATCTGGCCTGGCCTCCTGACTACACCACAGGTACCGAGTCAGACAAGGGAACCATTCCAGCCAGAGAACCGTAGCAGGGACTGGCACCAGCACCACAGATCAGCATATAGGACAGCGTGGCCCTGAACGCAGTCTGACCACTTCCTACAGCATCGGCCTTGATAAAGACGGAACGTTTCTGTGAGCTGGAAAGCACAAGTACCTTTTGTGGTGGCTTTTGCGGTGGATTTGCCAGTCCCAGCTACATTTGCTGCTGCAGGGGTACCTCCCGAAGACACACGTGGAACCGGCTTGGGCTGGGACGAGGCGGCTGGCTTTGACAACGCAGTGCGGGAGCCCGGCTGTAATTAACAACCAGAAAAATACAGGAAGCTATTTTTCTTGCAACAGAACACAACATTTCTGAACTCTGGGACTCGGGTAAGATGGGAATTGAAACAAATGGAGAGGAAAAAAGCCCACGTTAGCCAGCACTATAAAATTCAACCCCAACAGAGACCCATAGGACTTCAAGGGACCATCGTGATCATCTGGTCTGACCTCGCACACATTGCAGAGCACAGAACCTCACCCACCCACTCCTGTAACAGACCCCGAACCTATGGCTGAGTTGCTGAAGTCCTCAAATCATGGTTTAAAGACTTCAAGTTACAGAGAATCCACCTTCAAAATACAGAGAATCTAGTTTAAACCTGCAAGTGACCTGTATCCAGTTTCCATGGAGAAAAAAGTTTCATAGCACAAATGAATGGGGTTCTGTATAAACTGGTCCCACCCCTGATAATCAGTTAATACAACTCAGCATTGGTTTTAACTGAGCCATCTTGTGCCCAACGGATCAGGCTCCCAGGTTAGCAGAACCTGACCTTTTTCATCCCCTCCACATTGTCATCTTCCTCATCATTCTCTCTGTCTTCCTGATTGGCTAGTTTCATAGCGGTTTCCAGGACTCCCAGGATGCTTTGGTCTCCTGATGAAGCCTCCATGCCATGGATGGGTGGGAAGCCTGCCAAAGAGATGGCAAGTCTAAAGAGGAGATCGAAACTGATCAAACTACTATCGAGAGCTGCTGCGTACCTGAGCGCCCTAAAGAGGTAGGAAGAATCCACATCTAGCTACTCGTGTGATAATGCCATTCAAACCCGCTGAGTGAACCGTGCTAGATAACAGAACTGCAGGGAACAAGGGGGCGATCTCAGAAGAAATGCCAAGGACCACAGAAAGGAGACTGAAATTCCCTCTTGCTCCTAGGGGAAAGGTCCTTCCAGGGCAGGACTCAGAGAAATTGGTGGGGATGGAGCGTAGAAGGGTGCCCTGTTACTGCCAATGCTGTATGTGTTGTAAATAGAGAGGTCTCCAAAGCTGCTATTCCAGAGTGAAATTCACACATATGGAAGCTTTAAAAAATGGTGAGTGAAGAGCATCCTCTACTGTTCTACCTTGGTAGCAAAATAAAATCGGAAAATACCTGGTGGAACAGGCAGTTCAGCAAAATCCACCGTTTTCCCTGCTTTGTGAGCTCGGATGGCCTCTTGGTATTGCTGAAAGAGAAATCACGACTGAGCACCCCGCCATGGTGCCTCACAGACATGCCCTTCTGAGAAAGACGTATCCCTTATTATTTACACTAGGGTAGCACCTATGAGCCCCAGTTGTGGGCAAGGACCCTGTTGTGCTAGGTACTGTACAAACAGAACAAAAAGGTGGTCCCTGCTCCAGAGAGTTTACAATCTAAGTATCAGCCAAGAGGCAACAGGTGGCGACAGTCAGATGGGGGGGGGGGACAGCACAAGGAAACAATAAGACAATCCGCATGCAAGCTGCCAATAGGGGGGTGTCCCATCAACTAATCAGAGTCAGCCAACCAGCTTGTGCCCCAGAATCTTTTTACGGAGGAGTTCAAATCTTATCCCATGGCACCAGTTACTCCTCCCTTTACTGCATTGAGTGTGGTATGAGAGAAGAAACCTGGCTAACTCGGACATCCATTGGAATTGTGCCACCAGTGGCAGATTAGATTCCAATCATGGTAGTGTTTTATTTAGGTCTAAAGGATCAGGTTTTTTTAAGCACTCCATTTCTCTGTCAAGATATTGGCATTTTGCACCTGGCTTTAGTGCTCAGCCTTCAAGACGATACTGAGAAAACTCATGGACTTTACAAATAAAGATGATAGGCACAAGGACCTTTCACTCATCACTGAAATGCAGCAGTCTCTGGGGTGGAACGGAGTAGCTGGTTTAACAGCGCACAGAAACATTTATGCTACTTGAAGTAATGTATCATGGATCCAAATGAAACTGCAGGGGGATTTGGGAAGGCAATATGCAGTTACCCAGAATGTACCCCCCAACTTTTGGGGAAAGCACTAAAGACTCTAATGACGACGAGTGGGAAAGAATCTCACTCAAAAAGATGGCACCTCCAGAGGCACTGTGCCCCCAGCAAGTGGGGTCAGCACTGACTCAAAGAGAAGGCAACCACCCATTGAATCCCCAACAGCAGATAACATTGCCCCAGAAAGAATACTGCCCTGCTGTACAGCTCTAATTCAGAACGGTATCTGTGGGGGTGAGGGGAGCCAGGATCCACTCAGAGCTGTAGGTTACAGGACTTTCACGCTTTTCTCACCTTCACAATGCGCTCATGCATTCTTGCCTTCCGGTCATCTCCTTTGCTCTTGGCCTGAGCGGACGCTGTTTTATACCGCTCCATCCTCTGCTGCAGGGCTTCCAGCATGTCCCGCGGGGGTGGAGGGATATCTATTGCAGGGGTGGGGAGAAAGGGACGACACGTTTATTGGGTTTACTTTTCTAACTTCTTCCTCCTTAACAAAAATCTGGAACTCTGCCCCAGCCCTCGCTGAGGTGGTGAAAGGAGGCAATTCAGCGTTTCATTTCCAACCCCTGCCTAGAATATCTAGCTCTTATCGTAAGTTTGCATCAGTAGATCTCAAAGTGATTTACATAAGAAGTCATAGAATTATCCCCACTTTTTACAGATGGGGAAACTGAGGCACAAAGCGGGCCACGACTTGCCCATGGTCACCCAACAGGAGAGCCAGAAATAGAACCCAGGTCCTTCCGAGTCCTAGCCCAGTGCTCTATCCACTCGGCAACACGGACTCCTCCCTGAGCACTGACGATAAATAAGAGATGTGCCCTGCCAACCAGGGAGCAAACATGTTCCCACCCCAGCACTCACATGCCCACCCATCCCCGTGTCACGACGATGCTTCTGGTTATCCGAACATGCAGCACACGCTCTGCAAGGCTCTCCAGTGTTTTCTGGTAGATGCCGTGACCTCTGCAGGTAACAGCAGAGCTGGAGTTTGCACGGTAACACCACTCAAGCTAGTGATACTCCCAGGCTGGCCTCCTCCTCCCCTCCAGGTCCCATTTGCTTTCTGGGCAGGTTTTTCCTTTCACTACAGAGGGGGTTTGCTGTCCTTAGGAACAAAAGCAAGGTTGGCAAGATACACAGCAACTACCAAACAGGCAGTACCGCATGCGGCTCCCATTCTGGCTAATGGAAATTCCAGGGTTGATCGGCTGCACGGCATAACGAGCAACCTCTAGTCACGCTGGGGCAGCTAAGATACCAAGGCACCGTTCTGGAGATCATACCTGCAGCAGGGGCTGCTGATTTTGCTAAAGGCATGGTTGTCGACACAGCAGAGTGTTGTTGTAGACCTGGGGACAACAGCTCCTTGGGCAGCTGGTCTGTGAAAGTAAGATTGTAAGCGACAAGTAAAAAAATCAACCCAGATTGACAGAAAGGAGATCGGTTACTCCTCTCCCACCAGGCCCAGCCAACCCAGTCCTCACAAGGAGCAGCACCCAGATGGTACACTGCAATGATGAGATTCCGTCTTTCTCTCGCACCTTCCAAGCCAGGATCCCAAAGCACTTAATTAAACCGCCCCTTTCCTCCCAGCCCCATTTTACAAACAGAAATTGAGACACAGAGTGGTGGAGTCCCCTTCTAAAGGCCACACAGCGAGGAAGTGACAGAACTGGGAATAGAACCCATGAGTCCCGACTTCCAACCACTGGGTGAGGCTAAGGGCTCATCTACACTAGAAAGGCTTTGCCGATACAGCGGTACTGCCAGAGGCCCCTAGTGCAGCTCTCATCAGGAGACCTTTGGCTGGTACAATCCACCTCCCCGAACGACAACGTAAGGACTCTTACCAGTCCAGCTGCATGTCCACGGGTGGTTTTGCAGGCATAGCCATGTAAGTCAAGGTGGTGGATTTCTTCACGTCTCTGACCGATATAGCTATGCTGGCAAAACTTTGTAGGCCTGGCTTAGCAAAGAAAGATCACGACTGCCGTGTTCGCTCTTTTAGCACTTTCCTCCACTCAGCCAGGGCCTCCATTGCTATATCAATGAAGTCAGTGGGAACCCCTCCAGAAAGCAGACGCAGCTGTTTGGCAAAGTCGAGTATCAATTCTCACCTGGAGGTGGGGGCAGACGGCTCAGATCCACGGTTTCACCTTTCCCCAAAGCTTCTACAATGGGATCAAAGCTCTGAAAGACACAAGACAGGGAGAATAGTACTTTTAACCTCTTTCTTCAAAGATCTTAAAACTCCTCATTCAAAACCACTCAAACCAACTTCATATATCCCATGTGAAGTGGGATTTATCTCCAGTTTACAACTGAAAAAAACAGAGCAATTTGCCCAAGGTTTCACAGTGAGCTGAAATTAGAACACAGTAGTCTTGGCTTCCAATGTTCTGCTCTAACTACTAGGCCACATTCTCCTCCCAGACTCAGAAACAGAACCCAGGTCTCTGGGCTCCCAGGCTCCTGCTACAGTAAGTGAACCATACTCCCAGCGCAGGTTCATGCTGGTTATAGAGGGATGCTCCAAAGGTGGAGGACAGATAGGAGCAGAGGAATGTATTTTCTTTAGCCACACCTGAGCTGGCCTATGGAGACAATAACTGCATCTGCATTAACTGCAATTTTCAAGGTCTTTTTTTTGTAGAGGGGAGACCACAGTTTGATTTTAATTCTCCATATGAAGCTGAACGGCTGAACTGAAGGAAAAGCCTGTCCCAGAAGAAGCCTAGCCAAGGTGAAATAGAGTCACAAACATGCCACAGAACCAGTGGATGTGGTTTACCAGCAGCCTTCTAAGCACCAACTGGTCAACTTCTTAATTGCACCCACTGAAAGCGTCACTTCTAGGGCTAAACCAAAGCCCCTGCCAGGCTAACAGAGCAGTGCTTTGGCTGGCAGGCACCTACCTTAGCGATGCGGTAGTATTTACTGGCCATCTCGACACTGCCTTGCTGTTTAGCGTGCAGCGCGGCTAGCTTGTACTCCCGCTGCCTGTCATGTAGGAGCGCCTGGGTGCTGACGTTTTCAGAACCTGTAGAGAGACAGAGAAAAGAGACATTGTGCTTTGTGTTTCAGAATCATCCGATGCAAGATCGGGGGAACATCATGGTCATAGATCAGTAGGAATTTATAAGCTCAACCTTCTGCGATGAGAGAGAATGAAAAGGTCCCCCATGCTTACCCGACGGTGCCAAAGGCTTTTCCTCTGGTGTCTCTGGGGATCTGATAGGCGAGGCCAGGGCTGGCTTTGGAAGTACAGGAGGCGACGGCTTGGGAGACACAGGAGGTGGCGGCTTGGGAGATGCTGCAGAGGGTCCCTGTGGAGGTGCTGCAGTGGGTGGCTGTGGAGGAGGATGGCTGGATAAACTGAACCTTCCGTTGGGTGTGGAGCTCGGGGATGACAGAGTTAGTGGAGAAGGGGACGGCAGCTGGGAGTTCCCGCTCTTTCCTAGTGCAACTGCGGGGGGGATTTCTTCCTCATCAATCTTTTTGCCCTTCCTTACAGAGGTCAGCATGTTTTCTAATGTCTTGGGAAAAAACAACAATGGCTAATTAGCGATAAGCTTCCAAACTTTCACTCTTGGTTTTGCCAACAGCTATGGAAAACAGGCGCTTTAAAATTAGCCAGAACTTCAGCTAAGAGCCTGACTGCAGGAAAACTGGATACCAGCACCTTAGTCAGCCCAGGATCTGCAGCCTAATTAGACCTCAGAAACCCACAGCCTGTCATCAGCTAAAAAGCCATTCCTCAGCCAAACAGCAAGTTCCTAATTCCCACATTTTTCATGACTAGAAGGTAGCAGCCTCTTAGATGAGTGCCATTCATCCGACGGGAGCCAAAAGTGTTGTACAAACCGCATGCTCTTTATGGACAAATCTCATCACAGAAATGCAGCTCTCAGTGGTGGGAAGCGGCAGGGCGATTAGCAACAGCACATGGTCAGAGCACCTCCAGTTTCGTAAGGGAAGACTCCAGACCCAAATGAAGATGCAGGGAGAATTTTAGGGCGGCAGAATAAAAGTACCCAAGATGGAATTTGGCCAGGATGCTGGGACGAGCCCTCTGACTTGAGAAAAGCACTATGGGAACTTTAATGTCCAGGAGTGATCAGGTCCTCACTTTTCCGTCTAATTGGAAAGCCCGCACCTGCAGTTGTACAGGGACCATTAGGACCACGCTGGGGCCTTTGGGTTCAATATTATCTCTGAGGACACAGCAATATCACTAAAATGAAGACATCAGAGCGCTGCACCCCCTGCAATATACTGTTGCTGAGGAGGTTATCAGCTATTGTATTATCCATATTTAGGCACCTCAATAAAAATGGCCTCATTTTCAGAAGGGCTCAAGACCCATAGCTTCCACCAAAGGCACTAGGAGCAAGGCTGAAAAAACAGGCCCCTTACATGGGTGCCTAAATATGGATTTAAGTGCCATACTTTGAAATCTGAAAACGTTGGTCATGCTCAGTTGCAAATTTAAGATCAAGCAATTTCTATTAAGTTTCTAAAAAATATTTTCGGTTTTCTTCCTAAAAAGCATCTTGCAAGACAAGATGGTTACCAAGCCGCTAGCCTGGGCACATCGTGTTCTGGGTGCATTATTTAACACTCACCTTGAGGCCTCTTTCATATCTGCGCACTTTGGCACTGTCTCCAGCTTGCTTTGCGTTAGTCATGGCTGTTCTGTACATTTCCAGCCTTTCCACCAGAGTAGATTCTACACTGCTGGAATCAGCTGAAGTTTCATTCACCTGTAAGAGCCCAGGGAAGAGGAGGAAAAAGTGTTGTGAATTAATCCAAAGCACTGGCCTAACGGGGGACAGCCATATCAACACTTCCAACGAGAGACTGATTTTGTTGGGCTCAAGACAGTCAAACTAGACTGGCCAGTTTCACTTTCTGGTTCTTACATGCTAGAACAATTCTCCTGGACAACCTGGTCTAGAGCAGGGATCGGCAACCTTTGGCATGCGGCTCGAGGCCGGGCTGGTTTGTTTACCTAACACGTCCGCAGGTCTGGCCGATCGCGGCTCCCACTGGCCGCGGTTCGCCACTCCAGGCCAATGGGGGCTGCAGGAAGGGCAGCCAGCACCTCCCTCGGCCTGCGCCACTTCCCGCCGTCCCCATTGGCCTGGAGCGGCGAACCACAGCCAGTGGGAGCCGCGATCGGCTGAACCTGCAGACGCGGCCGGTAAACAAACCAGCCCAGCCCACCAGGATGCTTACCCTGGCGAGCCACGTGCCAAAGGTTGCCGATCCCTGGTCTAGAGTGACCACAACTCAGGGTCTCTCTGTTCAGACACTAAGGACGGAAGGTGAGCAGCTGGTGAAGCAATAGGTGCCTTAGCAAGGTCTGAAAGCACAAGGCTATTGAGTCTGGGTTAACTAATCCAACCACATACAACAAAAAATGTCCCTATTCATATTAGATTTTCCCCGTTTTTTTTTTTTTAAACAGAACTGGTCTTCAACTAGTTGAGAGTCTTTTAAAGACACTCATAGGAAAAACAATACATTATGTGAAGGGAATTGGTAAAGGAATAAGAACTCTCCTCAGTGTATACCATTTCAAGCAACGGCTACTAAAAACTGAAGCTGAGGAAGGATGCATTCGTCTTCCATATTCAGAAAAGCCTTTAAAAAAACCAAAGGAACAGTACGCCCATGTATGGCCACAGGAAAGTGCGGTAGTTATGACACAAGCTCTAATGAAAGTGAGAAATTAATGGCAATAGTACAAGGCCTTTTTTGCTAGTATCAATGACCTAGACTCAGAGGTTTACGGTTTTTTCCAACTTTACCCGCTATAATTCTAAAACCCCTCTGATTTCAAGACCACTAAATACTCGATTTTTCCTTAGGGACTTGGCTCCTGAAGGTTCTGAAGAGTGACTTTATTGGGGGTGCACATTTAGGCCCTGATCCTGCAATTTATGACACACGGGACAGTGGCTGCACCTGCCGAGCGCTACTGAGGCAATGTGGCTCCCAGCAGTCACAGCATTTTGCCCATCCATTGCAAATTTCTGGAGCGTGCCTTATCTTTTCCACCCAATTACTTTGCTCAATTTACAAGGAACAAAACAAGCCTCCTGACCGTCTACCAAGGTCACCAATTCATCTGGTATCTGAAAAAACCCAAACCCAATATTGTAAGCTGTCAGAACCTGGCTCCAGCTCATTCGTCCCCCCCTGAACCGACAAGATGATGGACTTTGACCTCATAGGTCATTTACATCTTCAACGCTTCAGACTCTGCAATGTTAACAGGCACACATGCTGGTTTGCATCAATGGGGTGAGCATATGGAACTTGCAGACATACAGGGAACAGATACGTAGCACAAGGAGGAGCCATTTCTGTACTATGGCCACACTTTCAACTGGAAACAGTGAGAAGAATGAAAGAGGAAGCAAAGTCGGAAGGGTAGTTTTGCACCTTAGCAGCAGGTATTGTGGTATCCTTGATTTCCTTCTCTTCACCCAGGACTTCATTGAGTTCCGCCTACAAAACAAAGAAATTGAGTCTCTTAATTTTGTTTAGAGATGCTCAAAATGTAAGTCACACTGATGGGAAGTTGAGCAGCAATTTATAAACTACAGAGAGAGAGATTAAGAGTGACAACTAGCAAGGGAGAAGCATTGCAACAAAAGTCCCAGCACTTCATGAGTATCTCCTCCTTCTTAGGATGTGACAGGCACTTATGTAGAACACCCCATCTTTAAGGAAATGGAATAACCTAGGAGTTAAGACACTAACTCCAGTATCTACAGATAGGTAACATTGCGGGATTGTATGAATATCAGTATAATGGGTTTGGCTCACAATGCAGCTGTGAGCAAAATTCAATAGAAGGATCCCTGGTCAGTGATACACTGAGGTATAAAGCTTTTTGGAGACAAAAAAAAAAAAATCCTGTTTCTCCAAGAGGACCCAGAGGGAGCAGGGAGATGGCAGATGAATGGATCTATTCGCCTGTCGCTACACAAGAATTCCCATTCAGACATGTCACTTTAGACATTCCCCACATATGAGGCATCGACCTGATAACAAGGACTTTTGTGTAACATTCCCAGTCCTTCACCGAGTACAAAGTCCTTCATACCATCAGATCATCTTCATCTTCCAGATCTTCCTCTTCCCCATCCTCTTCATCCAGGTCTTTCATGCAGAGAGCGGCCATTCTCTCAATAGCTTCCATGGGCAAAGGGGCTGAAAAGAAGAGGAGACAAATACACAACTCATTTCACATAACCATTTAATATCAGAGTTCAGACTAGTGTGCTGGGAGGGCTGGGGGGGGAAGAAAGGTCTAGTTTGTAACTCTTTTAATCAAGTCCTTCTGGGATTCAGATGTGTCCTAGCTGAGCAGATGTATAATGGGCATAGAGTTGAGGACCACTTACTTTTCCCTTTCGGCTTCTCTTTTGCATCTGGCTGGCCTCCCACGATAGCTATTAATTCTGATTCCAGTTCACCATCCTCCTCCTTATCATTGTCCATCATCCCATGTGGAGAGAAATCCACTAGCAAACCCATCTAGAGAGGATAAAAGACAAACCATGAGTCCATGGTTTCCTAATAGGCAACAAGAGGCAGTGGTATCTAGTGCTTAGATCCAGGGACTAGGCGTCAGGATTCCTGAATTCTAGTCTCAACTAAAAGAGGGAGACGTGTCATCTGATGGTTAGAGCAGAAGATAAGGAGGGGGTACTTTTTTCCTCCCCGGCCATACTGGGTCACACCAATGGTCCATCCAGCCCAGTATCCTGCCCTCTGATAGTGGTAAGCACCACCTGGAGCCTGCACCGCACCCCAAACCCTCTTCCGCAGCCCTGAGTCCCCTCCCACACCCAAACTCCCCCCCACCAGAGCCTGCACCTCCTCCCACCCCCCTGCCCCAGCCCTGACTCTCCTCCAACACTTAAACTCCCTCCCAGAGCCCAGAACCCGCACCCTCTCCCACACTCCGAACCCCTCATCCCCAGCCCAGAGCCACCTCCTGCACCCCCAAACCCTCTCATCCCCCACCTCACCCCAGAACCAGCACCCCCAGCTGGAGCCCTCGCCCCCTCCCGCACACTAATTGCCTACCCCAACCCAGTGAAAATGAGCGAGGGTGGGGGAGAGCGAGCGATGGAGGGGCCTCGGAGAAGGAGAGTGGCCTCGGAGAAGGGGCGGGGCAGGGTAAGGGTGTTTGGTTTTCTCCAATCAGAAAGTTGGCAACCCTACTCACTTCACCTCTGTGTGCCAATTTACCCACTGCTAAAATGAAACTAACAGGACACCTACTTACACTACTAGGCATTGCACAGTTTAACATATGTTCATGAAGCATTTTGACAGCCTCATATGAGAGGAACTACAGCCGTATAATCGTATTGCACAACACATTCTTTATGACAGCTTCCCCCAACGTGTTGTCAGGGCGTGTCCTGCTGTTTGTATAGTGGAGGGCACCTCACTGTAATATCGGAGAGGATTCACTTTTCATACTGCTGTTAAGAAGAACCAGCTCTCCCTCCTACAGAGACTGCTGCAAAGACTTAATTGCAGGTGTGTCTGTGCTTTTATAGGAGTGTTTGGTTTGCACTTCCCAACACCTGTCTAGCTTGGAGTTTGACCCAATCCCTGATGGGCGGAAGAAGAAAGCATAAGGGAGGAGGCCAGACTTTCAACTGAGACAGTGCAGGGCAGGGTAATACAAATCCTATATGCATGCACCACTACGTAAAAATCCCTGACAGATGGCAAAACTCAACTCAGTACCTCCTCCTGGTAGATTACTAAAAGAAAGGCCAATGCAAGTACTGTAAACCTTCAGACAGCCTGAAAATGGGGAAGCAACATGCGATCCTCTCACCCGCCAAGCTGCAGCACAGTCAGATAAATTTTACAGTCTATCAAGGTTTATAGCCAGTGAAATTGAAAGCTCTCACCAATTGACTGGTCATATATTAATTTTATTGAAAGCAGGATTCAAGCGAAGGGGGAGGTTTAACACATTATCCACACCTAATTGGATTCTGTCTGACAGAAAGCCCTCCAGCATATGAAGAGAGGGAGGGCTGTTACCATATGTCACTGGACGGTTTGTCCTCCATAGACTTGCTCTAGATCTCTGGTTTGGTCCACGACTTGCATGTTGTGAATTTGGCCATTCTTAACGTGCTCCTCCTGCAGACAGGTACCTCCATTAATAATTCGGTGAGGTGGCAGACAGCAGTACTAGTTACTGTCAGCTGTGCCGAGGTACCGTAGTGACTGGAATACCATATACGATACCACTGAAAGTGTTAGCAGGTTTTCCAGCCGTTCCATCTTTTAGCACATAGGTAAGTTCAGTAAAAAGGGTGCAAAAGAAAGGTCTACAGAAGCTCCATTATCCACATCCCCTGATACAAGAGACCTGGAATAATGCCCAGCTTTATCCACCACAGACTGAAAATGCTGCAGGATGTTGGACCATCCATCCTACAGAGTGGCAATTTAACCAGGGATCTAGGACAAGACATCACATTTTATTCCTCTGAGACAGTCACTTAGGAGCAATCAAGTTCCCACCCTTAGATTGGCACATGTGCTCCACAGACTAGCGAGTGGCAGGCACAGTGTGACAGAAAAATGAGCTTTGAAAAGTTAAAACTGATTCTTTGACATTTGCAAAACAATATTTAACACCATTCATTCCAATCATCTTCAACAAAATCCTAAATTCTCCTCTCCCCAGTCATGCTAGGAAAATAAAGCAATTGTTGGACCATGCCCATGCCAGTAGCTGTCAGAAAGGAGACCTGCAACTCAAAAGATCACCCTGCCCATCTGCCTGTACACAGAGATTGAGAAATCTCAGATTTCTAGTTCAGTATGTAAACACAAATGAACATTAACATCAGGAATTCTGCATCATGAAACTAGGGTAAAAGTAGATGCTGTACTTTAAGGAAATGTACGCAACACTATTTTAAATTCCACACGTTAGTATTTTTCTTGTTTACTTTTAATTCCACATTTTGTGCGTTAGCAGAGAGATGTTGGGAACAGATGAATCACTCCTCTTCATCTGGTCCCATCTTTGTCCCAAGGGGCTAGGGTGAGAGGTATGATGATGATTTGTTTACTTCTATTATTTCTGGTTTGTCAATTCTCCTGCTGTGATTTCTAAATAACAGCAAATCTAATTCCCACCTTGGGATGGAGGCAGAGGCCACTTGGGTTACAACCTGGCCAGTTTCCCACTGGCTAAACCAGTATTTATACCATAAAACCAGCCGGACAAAAATTTACCCACAATGAAAGAACCAATATTAATAAACAGCAACAATTTTTCACCTCTATAGAACTTTTCATCCTGCAGGAGCCCAAACTTTATAAACTACAGGCCTGAACCTGCCCCCACTGAAGTCAAGAGTAGCAAGGTTGGGGCCTTTATACACACAAAGGTTACTTCAGAAATCATTTGTTGGGGGGTGGGAGCAGCAGCCATAGGGACTGAGGGGATTTCAGATTCTGACAACAGGACAACTACATTTTTTTTACACCAAGAATCTCAAAGCAGATCCGGAGGGAGAGGTGTTTCCTCATACAGACAGGGGAGAGGTAAAAAAGGAAACCCAGGCCTCACCTGTCTGGCTTTGGCAGCACCACTGCGTCCTGGTGGTGGAGGCGGCCTCCTGTTCTTGCTCATTTCTTTTTTCTCCCCCTCAGACTGATCTGAAGAGAATCAGTGCATGATTAGGTCAGACGGAGCTAGTTGGTTACAATGGGATCACTCAGGCACTGTCCCTGTGTTTCCGTTCCCTCACCCCATGGGGCAGTTTGGTTAGCCAACCTCATTCCTTCCTCCTCCTAATGCTTTCTTCTTCCCCTCCTCAGCCCTCTGCCGCCATCCCAATTTCCCCCTCATATCACCTCCAATGCCCCCTCTCCTCCCAAGAGTCCCCAACTGCCAGGAGCTCTCCCACAAATCCCCAACACAGCACACACACTTCCCAGATCCTTGCTTCCCTCTCAATCCAGGAGATGCATAACGAACTATCCTCCCTGCCCAGATGGTCCCTCTCTCACCCTACTTGAACTACCCACATGCCCCCCCATCCCCAGCTCCTGCTCCCTCACCCCCAGCAACCACACGCTGAAGCCCCACACAGCTCATTGTCCACTACCCCCTAAGCCTACTCCCCCCAACCCCAAGGCTTCTGCCACCACCAGCACCCTGCTCCCCCAACCCAGAACCACCACACTTCCTGGCCCCTCCCCCAGCACCCTGCTCCCCCAAACCAGAACCCCCACACTTCCTGGCCCCTCCCCCCAACCTCCTGCTCCCCCAACCCAGAACCCCCACACTTCCTGGCCCCTCCCCCCAACCTCCTGCTCCCCCAACCCAGAACCCTCCCACCTCCTGACCCCTCCTCCTGGCACCCTGCTCCCCCAACCCAGAACCCCCACACTTCCTGGCCCCTCCCCCAACCTCCTGCTCCCCCAACCCAGAACCCTCCCACCTCCTGACTCCTCCCCTGACACCCTGCTCCCCCAACCCAGCACCCCCCACACTTCCTGGCCCCCCAAGAGCCTCGC